TTAGAAAGCATCACGCTGGAACAGCCTAGAAACGATGAGTTGTAGTCCAACCTTGACGTGACACCAGCTGATTTACACTAATGACAAAGCAGTTCTTCTCCAGATGCCTCGCTGGATAAATGCGAGCTGTGGCCTCGTTTCTCCGTCAGCCTCTTATCTCGTTGGAGACGACTGACAAAAGTAATTACCTTCAGCTGCTATGGAGGGTGACAACGTAATGAAGGAGAAGACAAGAAGTAGAAACTGTTTCTTTCATCATTCCGTCCATCTCCTCTGCACCACACCCATCCTGAAACATCTATAACCACTTATTTTCTCAGACTGGTCTGAATACAAATGCACTTGTTCACATGGCCGACCATCTACACCCCTCCACTCTCGGTCCCTTTGCTGCCACAGAGTTTTTTAAAGAAACTTTGGAGTATTGAGCTACTCTGTCTGGGATCAATCGAAGAGAGCTCAAACCCACCAAAGCACAAACAGCAGCCAAGTGGTTGTGAATAATAATGTAATTATCCAAGCATTTATCTGATGAATAGTGAAGGACTGTGGGGAATCTTTCCACGGTTTTGTGAAGCTCTTATTTCTGACACCGAATAAAAAAGAGGATATAAAATGTGATTAGAGTACTGATTATAAAGACAATTGAACTGGGATGTAGGATCCAACAGGGGAGTTGCACGTCTTGTTGGATGCTAATCAGTGAACGACTGGTAGGAAAATTACAAATGAGTGTTCCCGTAAACATTTCCCACCCTGGTTAATGAAACGTGAATTGATAAGCGAGTCCTCCAGAGAAATCAGGTGACAATACGTGCACAATAACATTTCAGCAACTTACAGACAATTAAACATGGCTTCGGTCCTGCTAGACGGATTCGGAGGTGCTAATTTCACGTTGTCGTCTGTGTACGACTCGGTCCGGTGATTTCATTTGTTTCAAGAGTTTGACAATCCCTTTGAGATCCAGTTTCCTTCCTCGCACCAGCCGAACGTTCCTCTTGCTTCTCGTCTCTGGTTAAAAATAAAACAGCTGTGCAGCCCAGGAGGAAAGGAATAAAGGCAGCCACATTCACCTTGAAGATATTTTAACAACGCCCTCATGAATATGAGCATTCTTCACAAAGGAAATCACTTTTAAAAATGCCTTTGTGAGGATATGGCACCCATCAGACAGTGATTATCTTTGGCGAGGCACCGCTGAGCTGCAGGAGAGCTTTGAAGACATCCTTAAGAGAATATAAATAGTTGATTTTCCCCTCGGTCACCCCACATGCAGTCAATAGGCTCATATGGATGTGGTCAGCCTTCCTGTCGCTAATCTGCATTTTCCCAGAAGCTTTTTCATAAGAGCTCAGTGACGTGTTTAATCCAACATAGTTCCTAATATCTTGATTCATGCTCAATAATCCAGGTAAGTTAAGTCAGTTCCTCTGGACAGTTTATTTAACAGTTAATAAACCGTCCAGAGGAACTGACTTAAATTTGTAGGATAGTTTGTAATATTTTATATTTAAAAAAGGGTCTAATGTTTAAATTTAGCCATGCATTTAAATTACCACCTCTTCATGAACTTCACATAAATGACCATACTTGGCGCCGTACACGTCGCACCGCGGTATAAGTCGCATCAGTCCAAATATGTCTAATAAAGTGAAGAAAAAAAAAAACATAAGTTGCTTTGCTGTATAAGTTGCATCTATTACGCGTCACTGCTGACCACCTGGAAACGTGAGCGGGTGTTGTGCCAAACATCAATTAGCTGCCAAATAGCGGCCGTGGGAGTGCGCACGGGAGGACTTTAACAAGAATTTAACAAGATTAACACTTAAAAACAATTATTTGTTTGCTCGAAATAGTAAAGGTGTGTCTCAGTTGAACTTTTCTTTAATAAATGCACTTTTACGGTCAAATCAGCTGAATTTTGCCTGGACGGTGCAGCGAAATGCAGCTGATTTGTAATTTTAATTTTGATTTTAATAGCTACTTTTACATATTAATGAGACACATGGCTTGCCATATTGGTCTAAGGCCCTCTAGCAGCTGAAAATTGTGTTCAGTATTTTCCATGTCAGAGTGAATGAAATCGTCAGATCTCAGCCAATAATTGGGTCATAAATATGGGAAAAAAACATATGTCAGTCGTTTCAGTGTATAAGTCGCAGGACTTGCAAATGTATGCAAAAAGGTGCAACTTATACATTGAAAAATATGGTACTTTAATTTGCTCTGATGTTGTTCATGTCTGCAGATGGAGAGATGCTGAGTTGTTAAAGTGATAAGTTTCATAAAAGCGGTGCGCTGATGTCCCCCATCACTGAAGGACTTGAAGAGAGAATGTTTGTGGTTTTTGAGATGAGTGTTTTTCTGGACTAGAACTAATAAAGTGGAAAAGTAATGTAAACGGATTGTTTATATCAAAAGAATGATTAAAAAATACCCAGTAAAGTAAAGTAAGCCTTACTGATTTAAGTGCAAGATATCAGAGTGGGTAGGAGTTACGGTGTTTATAGGAAGAGATGTAGGTTCTTTTTTGCTTGTTTGAGGCAGCGCCGAGTGGCGAATCTTGGTGAGTAAGTAATTTGATCCACCACCAGGTGCAATGGTGGAGCCAGAGGGTGGCCAATGGTGGCCTTCGCCAACATAGATTAATCTTCAGCCACCCCTGTCATTTGAGGAAACTTTACTTTTTAGCTAGAGAACATTTCCTCAAATGATTTGGGTTTGCACACATATATGGTGGTGGCCATCTTGGATTTTGACATGACAACCCAATTTTCATTAGTGAACTTTCTTACACCAGATGCAACATGAAATTATTCCAGTTCTGAAGTTATCCTGCTCACAAGATGAGTCAAATGAACAGAGGGTTTTTCCAAGTCCCCACTTTGACTCAAGCCTGTTTGAAGCTGGACTGCCAATCCAGCTCAACCTTCAGTAACTGTTTACACAATAAAGGCACATGCTGGATTAAACTTAAAAATATCTTATAGCAAAACAATAATGTTAAGTTAGGAATTCATAAATGACTAATTTCTATTGGCTTTATGATAATCTAACACTTAAAATTTAATAACTGTCCACAAATTATACTAAATTTAACTGTTTATGTTGTTTAGAACCATTTAAAACAATTTGACTTTAAATGGTGAGTAAAAATCTGACTATGTGTGTGTTTAAAAAGTTAAGTCAGGTCCTCTGGACGTTCAAAAAACAAAAAAACAAAAAATTTGTAGAAACATTTCGTCTTTTCTCCAAAAAACTTCTTTGGTCTGAGTGTGTGTGTGTGTGTGTGTGTGTGTGTGTGTGTGTGTGTGTGTGTGTGTTTGTGTTTCACAAATTTTATTTAATCTCTCAGAAAGTTGTCATTTGTTAGCTTTTAATTAGCCTGATTCAAAATGGCTACCACAGGTAATCAATCTTAGTGATGAAAAATGGCTATAGTATTAGTTTTTATAAATAATAGAGATAATATATACTGTATATAAAGATTATTGTGCTAACAGTCATCTGCAAGAAATACTCTAAGCATTAAAAATTGCTCAAGATTTTTGTTTCAAACTTAGGCATAAACTATTAACTTCAGCTTTGTTTGTCTGTTAGCAAAATATCTCATGGATGGATTTGAATGAAACACTCAGAAATTAATCACTGGATGAACATTTGCATCGGATTAACTTTAGGAGTCGGCACAGTTCAAGATGGCTGACACAGCTAGTCAATATTTGCAGACACACAAATGATAAATTAGTGATTTCTGCAGATATTGAGCTAAAATTTGGTGTGGTAGCAGCTGAGAGTTTGAACTCAAACTGATCACATATGATCTTTGGTCAAAACTCTAACATAAACATTGGTGGGTGATACATTCCTTAAAGAACTGGTAGTTTCTTATTTATTTATTTTAGAATTGATTAAATTCTTAAAGAAATTTCAAATGAGTTGTTGAATTAACCAATATTTGGTTTGCCTGATTTACAAAACTGACAAATGCAACTTGTTTATATATAAAGAATGAATAAAAAATACCCAGAAGGTTTTTGCTTCACCCGAAATGAAAAGCATCGAGCATCGTAAATAAATTAATTAAACATCCCTTAAATATTATATTGACCACAACCAGATAAACTTATTTTATGTTCATTCAACAAGTTGTTCTTTGTAACATGACTGATGTATCTTTTTTTATTTCCATGAAGACAAACACTTTTGATTTGCTAAAGATTAAAAATAAATACTTTTCATGCAAGAAACCCCTCTTAGAGTGAGACCAGACTCTGAGGGACTCCATAAAGTATTTATTTTTGTATTTAGATATATATTTTTTACGTATAAACCAATGGTAGTAAATAATTTGAATGAGCCCCATTCCTTATTTACATGAATATAATCTTTTTAGTTCTAAAGTGTAAAAATATCAATAAATGTCATTTTATAGTTTTAGCTTTATATTGTCACTGCCTGTAAAAGTTCCCCTCCAACAGACTCAAAGTGGCCCATGAACCACCACTTGATAATCACAGCATGTTTTGCAGCTCCCGACACATATGATCATATTAATTATCATATTATCATATTATCAGTGAACAAAGGGGCAGAAATGGCTCTTTTGATTGTTGGGGTTGCAGACAAACTGAATGAACGCATGAAATATGAAAATGGACTTGATTTTGTTCACAGGCCTCAGTTTTGGCTCTTTGTTGTGGTGTGAGGCAGTGCGGTGGTGCGGTGGTGTGGTGAGGGGGTGAGAAAAGACTCTTACATAAGAAGATTTGAAGAAAGCAGAAGAGATATGTATATTTTTATGAATCGCCTGCAATTTTTGCCATTTTACCTTTTTTCTTTTGTAACAAGTGTTGCTTCAACCTTTTACTTTAGCTCCCAGCTTCAACCTTTTACTTTAGCTCCCAGCTGGAGCTGTTATGTTGGATTGATCCAAAACAAGAACCTGAGCACATGTTTGTGTTTTGGTTATCATGAATATTCTTGTTCTGTTTCAATTAGCATGACTTTTATTCACACAGTTAAATGAGGTACAGGATAGATACATGAACGACGGGGGACCCTGGGAGTTCTGATGATCTATAGGTTCCTTATGTGCGCCTTGCAGTTCTGCATATGATTTTCTTGAAGGCTCTCCTGAAGTCCCTGTTGAAGATGGTGTAGATGATGGGGTTCACGGAGCTGTTGCAGTAGCCGATCCAGAAGAAAAGTTTGAAAAGCGCGTCGGGGATGTGGCAGCTGCTCCTGCAGACGGCGTGCAGGCTGTAGGTGAAGAAGAAGGGGAACCAGCAGAGCACGAACACCCCCATCACCACCGCCAGCACGAACGTGAAGCGCTTCTCGCGCATCTGGGCCACCTTGGTTTTGTTGGTCGCGGCCAGCTGCAGCCGCTCCGCCGGGTTCCGGTTCGGCTCTGGCTGCAGGACGCGCGCCGAAGCCCAGGAGAGGCGGCAGCTCTGCGGCGGGCAGCAGTCCGAGCCCTCCACCTTCCTGCGCTTGGTGAAGCGGTGGTGCCGCGGCTTGGTGTCCGAGGAGGAGTAGCAGCTCTCCTCCAGGTCGATGTCGTCCAGCTCCCCCCGCCGCCGCTGCTCCTGCTGCTGGCTCCCGGAGCTCTGGCTGCTCGGGCTCTCCCCCTCGAAGCGCTCCTTCCGGACAAAGCACGTCTCCGACTGGGAGGGCTCTCTCTCCAGGCCGTTCTTGGCCACGAACACGGTGGAGGAGCGCTGCTTGGCCACCTTGTAGATCTTGCAGTAGACCAGGATCATGATGAGCCCCGGAGCGAAGAAGGACACCAGGCAGGAGGAGAGGATGTACCAGGTCTCGTCGTTCAGCTCGCACTCCCACTCGTCGTGTTTGGTCATGAGGAGAGGCGGGAAGGAGATGATGGCGGATATGACCCACACCACGGAGATCATGGACTTGATGCGCCTCGGAGTGCGCTTCAGGTTGTAGCTCACCGCCTTGGTCACGGACCAGTAGCGGTCCAGGCTGATGGCGCACAGGTGCACGATGGATGAGGTGCAGAACAGAACATCCAGGGCTAAGTAGAAGGCGCACCAAGTGCTGCCGAAGTACCAATAACCCATGACCTCATTCACCAAGGAGAAGGGGATGACCAGCGTGGCCACCAGGATGTCCGCGGAGGCCAGGGAGACCAGGAAGAGGTTCTGGGGCGCGCGGAGAGCCCGGCTCGTGAGCACAGCCACGATCACCAGCACGTTGCCAACAATAGTCACGGTGATGATCACAATCACCACAAGGATGATGAGTCCCGCGGCTGCCTCGGTGTAGGGCAGGGAGCGCGCTGCGTCGGTGGCGTTTTCATCGCTGGAGACGTTTTCCACCAGCACACTCAGCTGGGTTAGATCCATTCTGCCTGAGGACGGGTTTTTAGTTTCATCTTTGGTCCTTTCTTGTGGTCCCAAAATAACAGCCAATGCTGGGTGCGCTGCTTAGAAACAAATATATTTATAAAAAAAATAAAAAGTCGATGTGTTGTTGCGCGTAAGGCTCCTGGCTCCGGAGTAAATCCTTCACGAGGAGCTGCACATTTCTTTGCCTTCTCCTTCCCATAAGTTCTGCCACGAAGAACAATTTTTTTTAAAAATCATCAAATCACGAGAAATAAGTCCCCAAAAAAATCCGAGTTGACAATCCAGAAAACAAAGCAGCTCCTCTGATGTCACAGCGCCGTGCGTAAAGCCGCGTTTTGCGCTCGGGTGAGCGGCTCCGACTCGGAGAGAATCTGGAGGCGCTGCGGGGGAGTGCTGGGGGGGGGGGTCCGGTGAGACCCCGGGGGAGCGCCCGCCCCCAAAAGCACCACCATCCTTAAACTAAGCGCGAGAGCGACCCCCTGACCCGCACCCA